ACTTATTATGAAACGGAGGGAGTCCTAATAGCAACGCTTCTTCTTTCCCTAACAACACACGGATTATAAAAAAAAGACTCTTAAAAAACAATGCCTCCAAGAAAGTAACAGCATGCAAGCGTCACCCCGTGGCGGTGGCAGGGGGCGGCCAGCAGGGGCCGGACCCTCCCCAACATCATGATTTTCACGCTACAATGCATATGAGCAGTGTAATTTTAGTATTGTTCATTGCAACCGCCCCTCAACAATATATTTTAAGCATCCCTGCTTTTGCGAGTAGCATCACCATCGGAAGACCCAACCACTGCATGCTAGATCCTAATTTTTTTACCTCGATGAAAAATGTTCGAACAGACTCCAAAACAACGCCCTCTACAAAAACATGACGTGTAAAACACCGTCATTATCGGTGCAACCATCCAAGAACAAACATAGTACATAGGGTTTCCATTCCGAATCTCGAGACGCGGTGCTGAAAGACACAAAGAACAGTACAATCACCCCTTGTCGAAGAAGACGAAGCCGTAAAGAAACTGGCACGCCCTTTGGTTACGAAAATTTCAAATCCAAATACGAGGCCGGAAGGGGAGGCCTTGTGTGTCGTCTAGCTCGTGCGCAACGCACAGCGCGGGGAGCAGCCGCCCATTTGTGATAGACGGACTCCTCGTCTCACTCGCGTCACATGGTCCCCGTCCCGTGTCGCCGGAGGCACGTGGGCTCCGTTCCCGTCCACTCACGATCCTTCCCGTAAAACGCAGTTCGACCGCTCCGGACTCCATTCGTCTGTTAGGTCACGCGGGAGGGAAAGAAAGCTTCAAAACGCAATGATTCTCTCGCATCGCACCCCTGCAAACTGCGTGAGAATTGGATTAATTGCCCATCATCGGATCCAATGATTCTTGATACTACTACTACGTGTACTTGGAGCGTGTGATGATCCCAGATGGATGGATCGATGGATCTACTCCTAGCTATTCCTTGTGTCTCATAATATAAGACGTTTTTCCACTCTAGTATAATGTCAAAAAAATATCTTACATTACGGGACGGAGGAAGCAGCAAACTTGACGGCAAGCAAGAAAGGTTTTTATTTTTCTCCGGTAGAAAGGGGAAAGTAACTTTTAGCGGTTTCGTGATCGAGCACGTAATTCGCGAGGACCTCTATCTACTGTTCGACAGTTACATGGTACATTTCCCCAAAAATAAAGACAATTACATATATTGGGCAGCAAAGGCATCATGTGGATCTCCATTTCTTGCAAGTTTTAGCGGATGATTGGGCCACTCCCACGGCGTCATGTCAAAATTGACGCGCCACCGATTAGTTAGCATCCAGATAACCGCCTACCCCATCCATAGGCAACATAGCCTCATAGGCACGAGTGCAGCGTTTTATCTCCAAACGCATTTATTACTCTAGCATTACGACTTCCTTCGGTTGTTTTCATAGGTTGAGCATAGGTTTTTTGGGTCTCCTATTCAATTTAGAAGATATGTATAATATGTTATAAAATAGTTATTATTTAGAGAATTCATTCAATTGCAAATCTAAATGTAGTATTTTTTTGGCACGTAATTAATAAATTTTGCTTATCAATTATGTACGAAGAACAAGATAGAGTAAAATGGCTTATCACTGCTTCTAGGTCTTTTCTATCAAATCTTTGTACCATTGTCTTGTTGGGCGGCAGGTTGTTTCCCATTCTTATGGAAAACGAAGATATCTCTGAAAGTTGAGCTATTTTTCTTGGTTAGTCATCAAGAAGAGGGCCCAGGGCAAAGATAATGGAAATCATTGTTCCCTTATTTTCTCCCGCTCCATATGAGGAGGATCCAATGGTGCAATATCAAGAAAAAAAAACATTATTGAAGTAGTATCCACAATTTGTATAAATGAAGGAGGGGGAGAAAAAGGAGGGAACATCACATAATCAATCACAAGGGGGCCAATTATATCTTCCATGTGTGATGGTGTGGTAGCAGGTAGCAGCTGCACATCACGCCAAAAAGAATCGCAAAAACATTGGTTTCATCATGCGTATGTACGCAATACGTTTTCTTCAGGTATCGAACCGCTCATGACAAGCGGTATGTACGCAATACTATGTCACAACACATTGTGTTTGAGCACACATAGAGAGCACAAACATGCACACCAGCACATTAGTTGCACCACGAGTCCGAGTGCATGCACAGGATACACCCTCAATGGTAGCAGTAGAAAGTTTTCCAACCAACCAATCCGCCCCTGATATGTCTTGGCAAATTAAAGGCTCCCTGCCGCTACCATGTGGCCCATCATGGTAGCACAATCTTTCACCTATCATGGTAGTGCAATCTTTCACCTATCATCTCACGTCCCATTATCATTACATTTCCTTTCTACATCTCCTTATCCCTGCACTCCGCCACATCTCAACAACACCTAAAAGAAGCAAACAAACAAGCAAACGAGCCCATGCGAGGAGCCACCACGTCCAAATCAAGCACATTCAAACACCATATATACTACTCCAATACATAGCATTGTTTTTCTTGTTACTATTTACAAATAATGCGCCATGACGTGGGGTGCATGAAACCACCAGACTCCCAAATTGGCGCGCATGATGTAGCTAGGGTGGCGACAAAGTGCTAATCTAATGGTACACAGTAATATATAAAATTGACCAACGATGTACCTGTGGCCGATAATTGGACCATCTCCCGGCTGCTGTTTTTCCAGACCAAACGGATCAGGCCAAAAGCCCGGATAGAGGGGGCGTATCCTGGGGAGATTAAAGTAGTGTTAGAATAATGTGCGCAAGTGCAAGCTTGCTCAGGCTGGTCACAATGGGCAAGAACATAAGCTAGTAACTTCACACTTTTCTAGACTATGTTACTACCTTCATAGTGGGTAGGAACATTCATATAGTATCATGTAACGATGTATTTATTAGGTTATAGACTCATTGTTTTTTGGAGTGTGTGATGTTCCGGTAACTTAGCTAGTTACCACAAGCACCTCTCTCTTCATTAAATACGTGCCACATAAGCAAAGTTGTATTGGAGTGTGTGATGTTACTCCTAAGTTCTTCCCCACTGTGACCAGCCTCAGAGAATACCTTTTTGATACTACGAGTCAGAGTTGTGCTGTGTGGTCTACACTCATCCCAGAGTTTAATATCAGTACGCACACGGTTACTTTAGGTTTTTGTTCCGAGCAAGAGTTTATTATTAATCGGTGCAACTGCATGGTGCTTTGTGCCTCCTACAACAAGGGAGGTTTATGCACTGAAAGAAAGAAATTTTGACATGCATGGATTATTTTCACAGTGAAATAACTGTGCAGTGGAGGCCAAAGATTCAGGAGGCGAGCAGAAGAGGAAGCCGCATAGGGTAAAAACGGCGTGCATGTCACAAGCTCGTCATGCTAACCGCCTGAGCTGAGCTCCGTGGCAACCCAGGTTTGAAAACGTGATCAGCTTTGTCAATCAAGGAGAGAAACTAATAACGCTTGCCTTCTAAACTGCCATCGCTCCTGGTCATGCCTAGTGCCTAGGATGTTGAAACCACATATGTCTCTCAACATCGAGAGTGTCTAACTATTAAAGAGGCTTGATTTACACGTCATAAAATGGCGCTAACCCGTCATGAAGCGATGCTTAGTTAACGATGAGTATGATGTCAACGATTATCCCTCTCCCCCCATCCGCAAAAAAAAAAAAAAAAGAGTTATCCCTCTGGCACGTGGGTCACGTAGCCATGTTGTCGTTGCGAACATGGGGCGGAAACAATGAAAATCCCTTTTAAGTTACAGCTCTTGTATGTTCGGAATCGACCACGGGAATTAGATGTCATGTTTTGTGGATTGTTGATCTAAACATAGAATGCGCAAAACGTAGCCGTTTAGATTCTCCACAAGAACACCGAAGCAACCGTTTCTTCGCGAGCAAGAAGGCGAAAGATAAAGACACATGCTCCATTTGAGCTTCGCCGAAGAAGCGAAAACGTGAGGGTCGGACAAAGAACCGTCCGCCTACGATCGAAAAGGCGTCATAGGAAAACCACAAGACTATGTTCCTATGAAATCCCTACTCCTACTTTGTTCCAAAGATAGCTTTACATTGAGCAAAACCACAATCTAGCTTGACCATGAGGCGCTAACCATAGCTCATTAGCAGTGACTAACACACACACACACACACACCCCTTTGTTGAGGCGCCAAGAAAGGGAAAGCGAAGCCCCCAAACCCCAACCAAACCCAGCCCGCCCCCAATAATTGCAGCACAAGGCTTCCATGCTGGCGTTAAAGGGTGAACATGGCGCTGACAGGCATGGGGCCGACCCATTCGTTGCTCCTCCTCCTCCTTTGGAATCCCTGTCAGGGGATCGATCAAGACCAACAATAAACTGTTAATCAAAAATATTGCCACTCCCGCTTATATGCACCCCCCACCCCCCTCCTCCCCTACTAGTACAAGTAGAAGAGACTAGTCTCCACCACCCCACCACCACTCGCCAGCAGGAGTGGCAGCTCTCCCGTCCATGGCTGTCCCTGCTCCATCCCACACACCTGCTGCACTTGCCTCTGCGAGCATGTACTGACTGCCTCCCGTCCACTCCCTTGGCGCCATCTCTCTTGTCTCGCTGCTCGCTGGCTCGTCTGTGCGCGTGTGCGCTCTGCTCTGCTCTGCTCTGCTGCCTCCACTCCCCCCATCCCTGTCGGGATAGGCCGCGGCTGCATGCCCCGCTGCACGTTCACGCTTCCGTTTGTTCGCCTCCGGTGCGATGGTGGTCGCCGCGCAATGATTCTTGCTTGGTCGCTAGCTTCCCTCGTCGCGGAGTGAGGTGACGGGGCCGGCCGGAGGGAGCGGACAAACCGGCGAGCAGTTGCCTGGCCCTGGGATAGGGAGAGAGAAAGGTCTGTGGTGGCCAAGAAGCGTCAGGGGAAGCGGTGGGGCTGCCTGCTTGCTTGGGCTGCGCTGGTGGTGACTGAGCGGGCGAGAGAGCGTGCGGCATGGATTGGGATCTCAAGATGCCGGGCTCTTGGGACCTGGCCGAGCTGGAGCACGACGGGGTGCCGGCCATGGCCGCCCCCGCCGCGGCGGGCATCGCCGCCGCGGCCGCGCGCGGGCCGCCGGGCCGCCCCGAGTGCTCCGTCGACCTCAAGCTGGGCGGGCTGGGGGAGTTCGGCCCCGCGGCGGACGGCGCGATGAAGCAGCAGCAGCCGCCCGTGGCGACGGCCGCGGCGAACGGCCCGTCGGCGTCCTTGTCGGCGTCGGCGTCGAACGCCGCGGCGGTGGTGCCGTCGGCGAGCCCGCTGAAGCGGCCGCGCCCGGGGGCCGGCGGCGGCGGCGGCGCGGGGGCGGGGCACTGCCCGTCGTGCGCCGTGGACGGCTGCAAGGCCGACCTGAGCAAGTGCCGCGACTACCACCGGCGGCACAAGGTGTGCGAGGCGCACTCCAAGACCCCCCTCGTCGTCGTCGCCGGCCGCGAGATGCGCTTCTGCCAGCAGTGCAGCAGGTAACCAACCATCCAACCCGCCAAAATCGCGAAAATTCCCGCGATTGTGATGTTGCAGAAAGACCATTGCTTGAATTTTCGCAATGGTAAAATTGACTGACTGCACACCAATTTCCCCTCCTTTTTTTACTGCTGCTGATCATCATTCCCGTCCCTTTGTTCAAAGTGAAAAGGCCAATCCAACTATCCAAGCCAGTTCTTTCTCAGGAACTGGCTTTGCCTTTCTCTTTGGCTCAAATTAACCACCAGTTGCTCCCATTCCAAGCAAGGAGCACTGCTGGTAGAATCAGTAGGGGGCGGTGAGAGTGAGCTGAGCATATCTCACTGTTCGGTCTCAAGGATGCACCAGTAACTTTTCCTTTATCCGGCACTAACTTCTCAGCCTTTTCATATAGACAAGTACCCCCAAGTTTTTTTTACTTTGGGCAACCAGTAGTATACCTGAATCATAGCCCTCCCATTTTCCTACTTTTGCACTGGTAACTTTCTAGCCCACGGGCGTGAATTATTACCAGTGAAAAGTGGCTGATGCACTCCATGTGCCAAAGATCAGATGGAGCAGTCCTTTTTATTATTTGCTAGCTGCCACATTTTCAAACCTGCCATTGGATTCCCCCCTTTTTTGAAAATGATTATTGTTCTGGTTTGAAGTCTAAGAGTGGAGTATAATTTGTGACATCGACAAATATATTAGTACTTCTTTTATTTTGGAGTTTAATATTGGAGTATAATTTGTGACATCGACAAATATATTAGTACTCCCTCCGTCCCGAATTATTTGTTGCACAAATGGATGTATCTACACGTATTTTCAGTTCTAGATACATCCTTTTCTATCCATTTCTTCGACAAGTAATTTGGAACGGAGGGAGTACTACTTTTACTATGACAAAAAAATCAGCACAGATTTTAAACCAACTACTCCCTCCGTTTCGAATTATTTGTCTTAAATTTGTGTAGATACAGATGTAGCATCTACACAAATTTAAGACATAATTTGGGACGGAGGTAACAGGTGGTAAGAAGTGAATCTGTGTAAACCATAGTTTTTTTGTGTGTGTAAACCACGGTTAACCATAGGTACTTGAGGATCAACCCATTTTGCCTTTGAGGTGGTTTATTGACTGAACAGTAGGGCCCATCTCTGACATGATTGCCTCCCCTTGCTGAATTAGTAACCACCAGATCCATTGCTTCCCCATCTTCTTTTCCATTGTTCTTGTGTGAAGTTGAAGAGTGGAATGTAATTTGTGCAGCCATTTCCCATGACATTGACAAAAGATATTACTCCCTACGATCCAAAATAAGTGTCGCAGTTTTGAACTGGGGTTGGTTTAAGACTACGACACTTATTATGGATCGGAGGTACCACTACTTTTATTCTGGCTAAATAAAAGTGGTGCGATGCTCTACTGTAGTGTCCCCAGTAACTATCACATATTTTGCACCAACTGGGGAGTCAAGAATTGTTTTTTTTTGCGGGGTGGGGAGTCAAGAAGTTAATCTGGGTAACCCGGTAGGTACTTCAGGATCAACCCATTTTGCCCTTGAGGTGGTTTATGGACTGAGCGGTGGGCCCCATGTCTGACATGATTGCCCCTCATTGCTGAATGAGTAGTAACCACCAGATCCATGCGAATTCTTTGGGTTTACTCGTGGGTTATTGTGTGCAGCAGTATATGTTGTGTGTGGGCTGTTCACCCTTTAAAGATGTTGCTGAACACATGACCTGTTTTATTGAATTCTTGCCAGAAACTGGCCTACCTCATCTGCCATGACCGCTTCTTGTTATTAGCCTTGTTTTTTCCACGTGAGATGCCGGGGCCGCTAGAGCCAATTGTTGAAACAGCGTTGCAAAATAGGTTCTACATTTTGCATTTTGGTGGAGCCGGTTGTCTTTGAATGCCTTGGATGTTCTAGTACTATTCATCGGTTAGCTGAATTATTGGAGTAGCTTTGCGCTTAAGGTCAGTAGCCAACAAAAGCTACACTCTTTCAAAATCTAACCTGTGGCCTTTTCCAAATACTCCAGTAAGAACCTTGTTCTTCCATTATTGAACAGATAGAATTATTGGAGTAACTTGCACTTAATGTTCTTGCTATGCGCATTCCTTTCTAGCTGAACTGTTCATGTATTTGAAACATTTTCATTTTATTTTTTCTAGACTTGGCATAAAAACTGAGGTATGTCTGTCAGATATGGTATGTACAAAAACAGGTGAAAATGGGGGGAAAATGCCTCCAGTTTCACATGTTTTTGTACTGTACATCTTTCGAGGTTCATTGCACACTAGTACTGATCTGAAACCCTTTTAGGTTCAATGCTATTTCATTCGAGTTTGCCTTTTACTACTCCCTCCATCCCATAATGTAAGATGGTTTTCTACACAACACTAGAGTCAAAAAACGTCTTACATTATGGGACAGAGGGAGTACATTTTAGAGCCGTGGTGAGCAACTAACTCTGCATCATGTGCCTTCAAAGTTCAAGGAATACAAAAGAATTACCCATCAATCATTTGGTCGTCTTCCCCTAAAATTGTTTATATCTCAGTGGGGGCGCGTTTCCAATGATTGAGTGCCTATCAGACACACAATCGGGCAATAGTGCGCCCAGTGGAGCAAAAATTTGGATCACCATACTGTACTCCTTCAGTGTTCCTACAGGCTGGTGCCACACTGCCATACACCTGTTGGAACCTATACCGTGGTCCAAATGTCCAACAGGAGTTGCACTAACTTGCTGCGCTTTGCAGGCCCAGTAGAAAGCTTTCGTAAAGCCAAGCCCCCCATGCACTGAAATTTGTTAACTGACGCATTGAAATCTGAGTGGTCCAGCTGCGTCGTGTGCGTACTCTTTTCTTCATGGAATCTGTGTGCTGTTTTAATGTCGAGCAAATAAATATTCAGACCACTCTGTTTGGTCCTTGTAGCCTTTGATTTTCCACGTGCCTTATTGCATCAGAGCATGTTATTTGTTCAGAATCAGAACAGTGATGGTGTCAAGTAGACAACTGAAGTTGTTTTCTGCTGGAATTTTTTGCATACTTTTAAGTTTTAAGCATAATGGTTGTGCGAATCCTCTCTGATCATGAATGCCATGCTTAGGTCTTGTCTTATAGTGCTTGTTTGTCCACCATGGCCGGATATCATGTGTCCTTGTAGCACTTGCCTGTATTATGGGAGTGGTAAGACATTTTGGAGTTACTTTTATTTTCTTATATCGAGGTTATGCGAGGTTCTATACCCAAGGGCCTTTGAATGTGTTCTGATTTTCTCTCTTCCTTCTACAACAATCGTACTCTGATTTTTACAACTAAATGGATCAATATGTTATTAAGGATGGTGCTGATTTACACTGGTAACTTGTTTAGGGTGTCATTAACAGGGTCAGTATGCCATTAAGGACGATGCTGATATACAACTAAATGGGTCAATATGTTAGTATCATGGCTCCTGTTTGCTTAAATGTTTGTGTTTCTTACCATCAATCTTTGTTTCGCTAGATTCCACTTGCTCGCCGAGTTTGACGAGGCTAAGCGTAGCTGTAGAAAGCGCCTTGATGGGCACAACAGGCGCCGCAGGAAGCCACAGGTTGATAGCATGACTTCTGGGAGCTTTATGACAACACAACAAGGTATTTTTCTTATTTATAACCGCTTCTTTTTGTCAGCCTGTCGATTGCTACATTGACATAGCTGAAATGAACAAATTATATAGCAACCTCCCTCAGATTCAGATATTTCTGTTATAAAGTTATTCACATGCAAACACTCGGTGAAATGTTCGTGCTTACATCGGACATATTTTCTCCTGTTGAATTGATAATAAGCTTAACTTGCATATTTTGCATGGATCTACGACTGTTCTCGCATCATAAGAATGGAAGTTGGCATAAAGTATATATACTGCTCTGTATCTAACTCGGTGTGTCCACCACCCCACACATCCTGCAACCCACACAGCGAACATCGGATGGCTTTATATACCTTTTTCTTGCCCTCTATAGCATCAAATTCATTTGACATGGATGATGTTGAGTAACATGGTGAGTATAATATACAGTAGATCAAGGGTATACAAGAGCACATTGTAAACTGAATATTCGAATTAGCAGGGTGATTGCACAATGCTGCATTTTCAGTTTTTTTACATTTCTGCTACATTTGAATACTACAGAGTCTGATGCTCGTTTCATGATGACCGTTCAGGTTTGTATTCAAATGCAGGGACAAGGTTCGCGTCCTTCTCCGCTCCAAGGCCGGAGTCAAGCTGGTCCGGGATCATCAAATCCGAGGACAGCAATCCATACTACACCACCACTCACCAGATCAATTTCGCCGGCTCTTCGTCGTCCTACTCCAAGGAAGGCCGGCGCTTCCCCTTCCTCCACGAAGGAGACCAGATGAGCTTCAGCACGGGCGCGGCGGCCCTCGAGATCCCCCCCGTGTGCCAGCCTCTCCTCAAGGCCGTCGCGCCGCCGCCGCCGCCGCCCGAGAGCAGCAGCAGCAACAAGATGTTCTCCGATGGACAGTTGACGCACATGCTCGACTCCGACTGTGCTCTCTCTCTTCTGTCATCCCCGGCCAACTCCTCCAGCGTCGACGTCAGCCGGATGGTCCGTCCAAGCGAGCACATCCCCTCCGTCCCCAACCTGCAGCAGTTCGGCAGCTCCTCCTGGTTCGCCTGCTCCCAGGCCTCCAGCGCCGCCACCGGCTTCGCCGCCTTCGCCGGCGGCATGGACGGCGAGCAGCAGCTCAACGCCGGTGGCGCGCTGGTCCCGAGCTCCAACGACAACGAGATGAACTGCCACGGGATCTTCCACGTCGGCGCCGACGGCTCCTCGGAGGGCACGTCGCCGTCCCTCCCGTTCTCGTGGCAGTAGAAGTCTTGAGTGAGCGTCAGAGGCTGTTCTTGGGTTCTTTTGGTGATCATCAGTAGCTAGCCGTGCCCGTTTTAGTGATCAGGCCTACGTCCCGTTCTTTCTGTGTTTATTCTCTCTCTTTTTCATGTTTCTATGTCTTGGACTTGATCTCTCGCCATCAGAATGAATAACTTTGCATGATTCAGAAGAAAATCATATACTTATGGATTTCATTGATGCATTGGAGACTAGATTTAGACAACTTTTGGTTTTTGACAACTATCTCCTCATTTATTCATTCATCAAAATAGTGGCATCCCTTACAACAAAGGGAATAACCGCACTAGGGGCAGTATCTATTCAACAACTAGGGGCAGAAAACTTAGCTAACCTATCCAATTCGTGAGCTACTTGATTGTTTTCTCTATGACAATGCTCATAAATGCTATGATTGAAATCTAATGACATGAAATTACAATCATCGAATATAGCACTAGCAACTGAAGAAGAGTTGCCCTCCTTTAGAGCTTCAACCACCTCTACACTGTCGGAGTTGATTTCAATCTTGTTACATCCAGCAGTACGGACTAGATGCATTCCAAATTTTACCGGAACAAACTTTGCTGTCAATGAATCTAAGCATATGTCTATTTTTTTCGTTTGCAGCAGCAATGAACTGGAAATGAATCAAACCATACGTCTATATTTATTCGTTTGTAGCAACAATGCACGTGCCGTTGTGATCATGAAGGACCCCTCCCATCGATCCTTCAAGTGTGTATCCATATCAAATCCAGCATCTGTTGGGAAACGTTGCATGGAAAATAAAAAAAATTACGCACACGCAAGATCTAACCATGGAGATGCATAGCAATGAGAGAGAGAGTGTGTCTACGTACCCTCGTAGACCGTAAGCGGAAGCGTTTAACAACGCAGTTGATGTAGTCGAACTTCTTCGCGCTCCGACCGATCAAGTACCGAACATACGACACCTCCACGTTTTGCACACGTTCAGCTCGGTGGCGTCCTCTGCCTTCTTGATCCAGCAAGACGGTGACGTAGTAGATGAGTTTCGACAGCACAACGGCGTGGTGACGGTGATGGTGAAGTGATCTCTGCAGGGCTTCGCCTAAGCACTACGAAAATATAACGGGGGTGTAAAAGGTGGAGGGGGGCGCCGCATACAGCTAGGCAATTGTCTGGTGTGTGCTAGGCGCCCCCTTCCCACATATATATAGGTGGGAGGGAGGGAGGAGCGGCCAAAGAGGGCACCCAAGTGTTAGGGAACACAATAATTCAAAAAAAATCCTACGCACACATAAGATCCATCTAGGTGATGCATAGCAACGAGAGGGGAAGAGTATGTCTACGTACCCTCGTAGACCGAAAGCGGAAGCGTTATGACAACACGGTTGATATAGTCGTACGTCTTCCCGATCCGACCGATCCTAGCACCGAAGGTACGGCACCTCCGCGATCTGCACACGTTCAGCTCGGTGACGTCCCACGAACTCTAGATCCAGCTGAGGTCGAGGGAGAGGTTCGTCAGCACGACGGCGTGATGATGGTGATGGTGAAGTTACCGACGCAGGGCTTCGCCTAAGCTCTACAACGAAATGACCGAGGTGAAAATCTATGGAGGGGGGCACCGCACACGGCTAAACAATCAACTTGTGTGTCTATGGGGTGCCCCTTGCCCGTATATAAAGGAGTGGAGGAGGGGAAGGGCCGGCCCTCTCTATGGTGTGCCCAAGGAGAGTCCTACTCCGACTGGGAGTAGGATCCCCCCTTCCCTACTTGGATTAGGAAAGGAAGGAAGGGGGAGAGAGGGGGAAGGAAGGGGGGGAGGGCGCCCCCTCACCCAATTCGGATTGGGCTTGGGGGGGGGGGCTCCCCCTCCTAGGATCCCTTCTCCTCTCTCCCACTATGGCCCAATAAGGCCCATATACTTCCTGGGGGGTTCCGGTACTCTGATATATGCCTGAACTCACCAGGAACCATTCCGATGTCCAAACATAGGCTTCCAATATATCGATCTTTATGCCTCGACCATTCCGAGACTCCTCGTCATGTCCGTGATCATATCCGGGACTCCGAACTACCTTCGGTACATCAAAACACATAAACTCATAATACCGATGGTCACCGAACATTAAGCGTGCGGACCCTATGGATTCGAGAACTATGTAGACATGACCGAGACTCATCTCTGGCCAATAACCAATAACGGAACCTGGATGCTCATATTGGTTCCTACATATTCTACGAAGATCTTTATCGGTCAAACCGCATAACAACATACGTTGTTCCCTTTGTCATCGGTATGTTACTTGCCCGAGATTCGATCGCCGGTATCTCAATACCTAGTTCAATCTCGTTACCAGCAAGTCTCTTTACTCGTTCCGTAATGCTACATCCCGTAACTAACTCATTAGTTACATTGCTTGCAAGGCTTATTGTGATGTGCATTACCGAGAGGGCCCAGAGATACCTCTCTGATACACGGAGTGACAAATCCTAATCTCGATATATGCCAACTCAACAAACACCATCGGAGACACCTGTAGAGCATCTTTATTGTCACCCAGTTACGTTGTGACGTTTGATAGCACACTAAGTGTTCCTCTGGTATTCGGGAGTTGCATAATCTCATAGTCATAGGAACATGTATAAGTTATGGAGAAAGCAATAGCAGTAAACTAAATGATCATCGTGCTAAGCTAACGGACGGGTCAAGTCAATCATATCATTCTCTAATGATGTGATCCCATTAATCAAATGACAACTCATGTCTATGGTTAGGAAACATAACCATCTTTGATTAACGAGCTAGTCAAGTAGAGGCATACTAGTGACACTTTGTTTGTCTATGTATTCACACATGTACTAAGTTTTCGGTTAATACAATTCTAGAATGAATAATAAAAATTTATCATGATATAAGGAAATATACATAAAAACTTTATTATTGCCTCTAGGGCATATTTCCTTCAGTCTCCCACTTGCACTAGAGTCAATAATCTAGTTCACATCGCTGTGTGATTAACACCCAAAGAGTGATCATGTTTTGCTTGTGAGAGAAACTTAGTCAATGGGTCTGCCACATTTAGAGCCGTATGTATTTTTCAAATTTTCTATCTGTACAATGCTTTGCACGGAGCTACTCTAGCTAATTGCTCCCACTTTCAATATGTATCTAGATCGAGACTTAGAGTCATCCAGATCGATGTCAAAGCTTGCATCGACGTAACTCTTTACGACGAACTCTTTGTCACCTCCATAACCGAGAAACATTTCCTTATTCCACTAAGGATATTTTTGACCGTTGTCCAGTGATCCACTCCTGGATCAATATTGTACCCTCTTGCCAAACTCATGGTGAGGTATACAATAGGTCTGGTACAGAGCATATCATACTTTATAGAACCTATGACTGAGGCATAGGGAATGAATTTTCATTCTCTTTCTGGTTTCTGCCGTGGTCGGGTTTTGAGTCTTTAATCAACTTCATACCTTGCAACATAGGCAAGAACTCCTTCTTTGACTGTTCCATTTTTGAACTACTTCAAAATCTTGTCAAGGTATGTACTCATTGAAAATATATCAAGCGTCTTGATCTATCTCTATAGATCTTGATGCTCAACATGTAAGTAGCTTCACCAAGGTTTTTCTTTGAAAAACTCCTTTCAAACACTCCTTTATGCTTTCCAGAAAATTCTACATTATTTCCAATCAACAATATGCCATTCACATATACTTATCAGAAATGTTGTAGTGCTCCCACTCACTTTCTTGTAAATACATGCTTCACCGCAAGTTTGTATAACCATATGCTTTGATCACACTATCAAAGCGTATATTCCAACTTCGAGAGGCTTGTACCAGTCTATAAATGGATCGCTGGAGCTTGCTCACTTTGTTAGCACCTTTATGATCGACAAAACCTTCTGGTTGCATCATATACAACTCTTCTTTAAGAAATCCATTAAGGAATGCAGTTTTGACATCCATTTGCCAGATTTCATAAAATGCGGCAACTGCTAATATAACATGATTCGGACAGACTTTGAAGCATCGATACGAGTGAGAAAAGCTCATCGTAGTCAACACCTTGAACTTGTCGAAAACATTTTGCAACAATTCGAGCTTTGTAGATAGTAACACTACTATCAGCGTCTGTCTTCCTCTTGAAGATCCATTTATTCTAAATGGCTCACCGATCAATGGGAAAGTCAATCAAAGTCCATACTTTGTTCTCATACATGGATCTCATCTCAGATTTCAAGGCCTCAAGCCGTTTTGCGGAATCTGGGCTCATCATCGCTTCCTCATAGTTCGTAGGTTCGTCATGGTCTAGTAACATGACTTCCAGAACAGGATTACCGTACCACTCTGTTGTGGACCGTACTCTGGTTGACCTACAAGGTTCGGTAGTAACTTGATATGAAGTTTCATGATCATCATCATTAGCTTCCTCACTAATTGGTGTAGGAATCACTGGAACTGATTTCTGTGATGAACTACTTTCCAATTCGAGAGAAGGTACAATTACCTCATCAAGTTCTACTTTCCTCCCACTCACTTCTTTCGAGAGAAACTCCGTCCCTAGAAAGGATCCACTCTTAGCAACAAAATATCTTACCTTCGAATCTGTGATAGAAGATGTACCCAACAGTTTCTTTTGGGTATCCTATGAAGACACACTTCTCCTATTTGGATTCGAGCTTATAAGTTTGAAACTTTTTCACATAAGCATCGCAACCCAAACTTTAAGAAGCAACAACTTTGGTTTCTTGCCAAACCATAGTTCATACGGTGTCATCTCAACGGATTTAGATGGTGCCCCATTTAACGTGAATGCAGCTGTCTCTAATGCATAACCCCAAAACAATAGTGGTAAATCGGTAAGAGACATCATAGATCGCACCATATCTAATAAAGTACGGTCATGATTTTTGAACACACCATTACACTGTGATGTTTCGAGTGGCGTGAATTGCGAAACTATTCCGCATTGTTTC